AGGGGTGTGGTTTGCGGTGGGAAGGCCGGCGATGGAGGTAGGGGTTCGGGAGGTGGGAGAAGATGGCGGCAGTCGGGATTGGGGATCGATCAGAGGCCGGGACGGCTGGGTCGTGCGGGCTGCTGGGTCCTCTGGCTCGGACGTGCGGGCGGGGTTGCCACCCACCGAACGTGCGGGCCGTGCCTTTGCGCGCCCGGACGCGGTCGTGCGGGCTGGTTTCTGTCCATGCCACACGAGACGTGTGGCACAACTACCCGATACACCACACGTGTAACAGTTATCGATGTTTACGTGCGTGCTACCCGGGTTTTTATCCCATGGCATGATTAAGCAGTGGCTTTCTCACAGTGCTGCTTCTCAATATGAAGAGTTTGGTATTCTTAAAGCAAAAGAGGAGCACCGTGGCTCGAGAAGAATCGAAAAAGACTTTCGTCCCGTTTTATATATAAAGCAATACGACCAAACCGTGGCTCGAGAAGAAACGAACAAGTACTAGGCTACTACACAAAATCGACCGGTCCATCGTACGAACCCACCCCAGCCGGGCCTACGCAGCTCTAGCACCACACCGATCAGTACGTACTAAACCGTAGTAGTACGTGTGATCACCGGCGAGTGAAAGGCCGCCGAAGCCGTGCGCGCCCTGCAGTCCCCCTGGCTCGGCTAAAAGACACGGCCGGGTACCGTGCACAGCGTGCGCACCGTCCTTGCGTCGTACGCGCGCCGGCCGGCCGGTCATAGCTGACGGACGCCGGAAACGCGAGGCGCGCCGTAGAGTCCACCAACAACCAACCGACGGAAAGGGGGCAGTCGTTGCGCGCCCTTTCCCGACCCGTCGCTCTCCCCTCTTTCACCCGGGCGACACGACACGCCCAGGTGACCGCACACATGGGCCTGTACACATCGCCGGCCTCCTTTCCACGGCCGGCGCGCCATGTACACATCGCCGGCCGTACGTGCGTGCTAGGCTAGCTTGGCTACGTACGTAGTACTGGCTAGCACGACACGCGCGAGCGAGTCTCGGGCGGTACGATCGACCGAGTGGCCCATGCATGCACGGAACGAAACGACGAGCGGCATGGCCGCGCACGCACGTACGTTCCATGCCATGCACGAGAGGAGACGCACTGACTGACAGAGTAGTAGTGGCCGGCTGGCGCACTGCTGATCCGTACGTCGTCGGCTAGCGAGCGGCGACCGGTCGATTTCCTCTGCCGGATCGGCGTAAGCCATCAACCGTCTGGCATCCCTTTCTTCTCATACCCGCGACCACCGGTGGATGGAGATGAGTGCAACTGCAGAGAGGCCGAAGCTTCCGCGAAAGAGCGGCCGGTAATCCTGTGCTGTGCCTACCAGCAGCGACTCGACTTGAAGTATCAACAGTACTACGCGAGATGGAGACGACGGCCGTCCGGTGGCTTCGCCATCGTCTGCGTCTGTTACTGTCTTGGGTAATGAACGAGCACATGAACCATGAGTGTACGTATTACTAATAACATAATCAGTACTCCCTCCGGTCCTTTTTGTCTGCATATACGTATTGTCTCCGGTCAAAATATCTCTACTTTGACCAAATTTACAGGAAAAAGTATCAACATTCACAATGCCAAATCAATATTATCACATTCATTATGTAATGTAGTTTCATAGTATACATATATATATATATATATATATATATATATTTGTTATTGCAAATATTGATATTTTTAATATGAATTTGGTCAAAGTTTGTAAAATTTGACTTGAGACAAATCTAATACACGAAGTAAAAAGGGCTGGAGGGAGTACAACAGCAGATCTCATGGAGCTTTAGCACAGATAACATAATCAGTTTGGATTAATCAATAGTCATTCAGCCGAAGCGACGACAGTACATAGTACATACAATCATGGGTGATTGATACTGGGTAGGAGTAGTATATTAGCAGTACCACCACCGGACGGGTAGCTAGCGGTCGGCCGGTTGTCTCTAGGGGAAACAACTCGATCCAGACTGCAAATAAGTAACCAAGTTTACACAGGCAGATGAGAACATGAGAGAGGCGGATCGGAGGGATGGAAACTGGGAGGAAACCACATGCAAGGGTGAGCTAATTAAGCAGCTATAGAACTCAGGTGAAGGCCCTAGCTAATGATTGATGCCCTACCAAAGTGAATTAGACCAGCCGGCCTCAGCATGCAGTAGCTAGGCATGCACGAGATGTACGCAGATGATGAACTAGCTTAGGACAATCAGCCGATGTGTGTGGTTGACGACGATGAGTAGCCATGTAGCTGGCTAGCTAGCGGAGGAGGCTGCGGATGATCTGGGCGGCGGGGCTGTTGTTGTCCATGGTGGACATGAGGTCGGAGAGGCGGTCGCTGAGGTCGTCCACTTCCCTGTGCAGGCTCTTGATGTAGCTGCATGTCTCCTTGAGCATTTTCGTCGTCGACGCCTGCATGCATTCATCGATCGATATGTTCATTAGCACGCTTCCATAAACCTCCCATAAACACATTAAGCTTTGCACTCTGGCTGAGCTAGCTAGCTAGCTTAGTCAAGCTGCACACATGCTGACATGCAAGCGCATGTGCTAGCTGCAAACTGATGAAACTAGTCGTGTCGGTCGTACCTGGCTGCTGCTGCTGCCGCGGCGGCGCGTCGTGGGGAGCAGGGTCTGGAGCCTGGAGATGAGCTCGTTGATCTCCTCCTCCGACACGGAGCCGCGCGACCTCCTGCCAGACATCGTCTTCACAGAATAATGCTGGGCGAGCGAAGGTCGATTGAGAACCTGTGTGATCGGGAGTAGAGTGGGCGGCTAGCTGCGAGGTGCGATGGGGAAGAAGGATGGGAGACGACTGGGGGCTTTTATAGAGACGGATCCGGCCGGCCGGTTAGCCAGAAGAGAAGACGGGGAGAGCAAAAATTAAGATGCATGCATACAAGACAGGGTCGATGACGTAGGCCAAGACAAATGCAGAATAGGAAAAGGAGATCTCTCTCTTAAGAAAAGGAGTTAGCGGTCGTTTCATCCAGCTTAATCAGCTGCTCTGCAAGCAGCCGTACTGTTTTTACACACATGAACAAAAGGAAAAAAGTTAAGGGGTGTTGGGTGATGAAGCTATGTATCTAGGGTAAGGGCACGGACCTGTTCAAAGAGCCTTACCCAAGGACATCCCTAGAAGAAGTCACCTTTCAATCGACTTGAAGGTATCCCACTCGACGGGTTAAAGACACTCGACCAAGAAGCTATCACTCGACCATGAAGCCAACCACTCGACTGCCAGAAGACCTAAAGTCACTCCGCAGGCAAACGGTCGGCTATTAAGTAGTCTTTATGGTCATTATAGCACTTTATTAGGGACGTTACCAGTAACGCCCAACCTTAAATGTACCTTAAACCCTGCATCACTGAGGGCAGGAGAGGGCCGGCGAACTCTATATAAGCCACCCCCTCCTTAGTATGAAGGGTTCGCACCCCTGTTATTCACACGCCTATAATCCAATCGACCGCCTCCGGGCACCGAGACGTAGGGTTGTTACTTCCTCCGCGAAGGGCCTGAACTCGTACATCTTGGTGTGTTTACAACTTTCCAATAGCTAAGATCTAGCCTCTCCATACACACCCCCTACATCACTGTCAGAGTTAGAACCACGACAGTTGGTGCCCACCGTGGGGCAGAAGTCTTAGCGCCTAGTTGGAGAAGTTGCGATTTTTCCGATCCCTTTGATCATGTTTTCGTGCGGAGATTTGGTGGAGGGCCGCGAGATCCGTCTCGGCGCACTCACGTTCGTCGCCGACAACTCCGCTTGGCTTCAGGAGGCTCCACTCGACATCGACGCCCTCCCCATCCGCGGTGCGACGCACTTCCGCGCATGTGTTCGTGGCGTCCTCCTGCGGCAGCCGTCGACCCAGTATCAGTCGGTTCCCGTGTCATCTTCCCGCCCTGTCTCCCACCGGCGCAAGTGCTCCGGCCGGTCGAGACATCAGAGGTGGGTGAGGCATGCCGTGGCCCGCCAGTCGGCAGCCCCACAAGTCGCGGCAATCAAGCCCGACGAATCCCTCTACGGCCTGTTCGACCTGTCGACTGGATCCGCGGAGACCGCATCCAAATGCGGCAGCAGCGACCCGGTGGCTGAGGTTCTGGCGGTCGATGGAACACACAGTCATTCCGGTTTCCCTCGCACCGATGGACGCGCGGGTGGAGGCGACCCGTCGCATCCCCACGATGAGTATCTCCCCGAATCTCTCACGTCATTGCAGCGAGAGGAGCTTCGCCGCCGGAACATGGATGCACTCCGCAGCCCTATCGTCGGAGAAACCCCCGAGGCCCGGGCCTTGGAGGACGCGTGCTTGGCTAACTTGGCCGAGCGCACTCGACTGGAGAATCTCCAGCGAACACTCGACGAGCGAGCGCGTCAGCGAGCTCCCGAGTCCAGTCGACGTCAGCTCTTCCCGCCTACGCAGGTATATCGAACCCCAGTTCAGAATTTGGCAGCCGCGGCCCGTATAGCAGAATCGATTCAGCCCTCCCAGTCGGAGGCTGGCAGGGGCTTGTTGCAAATCAGAGCATTGCTCCGGGCAGCGGGGAACCAGAATTCCGCTGTTTCTCAGTCGCGGAATAGGATCCACAGTCGATCCGTTGCAACGGATACAGTCCAGTCGGCTCACAGCCCAAGATCGCCCCCGAGGCGTGAGGGACGCGAAGACCGGCACGATCAGTACAGAAGAAATGAGCAGTATGATCACCGGTTTGATAGACGTCGAGTGCCAACCCCTCCCCCGAGGAGTGGGTCATATGCGCCTCGACAGCAGGATGACAGACACCCTCATAGTGTTGGGCGGAGGGTTCCAGTCGACCCCAGGGACCCAGGCTTTGATGCGAGATCCATTCTCGTTCAAGGTCTGGTTGACAGGAACAGGGCTCACCGAGAAGGCCACGACAGGGATGCGCCTGCCAGCAGCAGAGTGCGTGTTTCGGGGCCAGAGTGTTTCAGTCGAGCCATCAGGGCCGCAGTGATTCCTCCCAACTTTCGGTTGGCGACTGGAGTCAGCAAGTTCACCGGCGAGTCTAAGCCTGACACTTGGCTCGAAGACTACCGAGTGGCTGTCCAGATTGGTGGCGGCAATGATGAGGTGGCTATGAAGCATTTGCCTCTCCTGTTATAGGGCTTGGCCAGAGCGTGGCTGAATCAGTTAGCACCCAGCAGCATCTACACTTGGGAGGATCTCTCTCGAGTGTTTGTCACGACCTTTGAAGGAACATGCAAGCGACCAGCAGGCCTTACAGAATTGCGGTCTTGCATGCAGAAACCGAGTGAAACTCTAAGGGATTACATCCAGAGGTGGATCACTTTGCATCACACAGTTGAGAACGTACCGGATCACCAAGCAGTTTGTGCCTTTAAAGAAGGCGTCAAGAACAGAGAGTTGAACCTGAAGTTCGGTCGGACCGGAGAAATGTCTCTGAATCGGATGATGGAAATTGCCACCAAATACGCTAACGGAGAAGATGAAGATCGACTCCGGAGTGGCAAGCAGAAAGCAGTCGCCCAGGAAACCGGAGGCAATTCCAGTCGGAAGCAGAAGCGGAAGGCCGAGCCAGCCGCTCCTGGGGAGGCCCTGGCCGCAACCCAGGGAAAATTCAAGGGAAAACCCAAGGGGCCCTGGAACCCCAAGAAAGTCAAGGATCAAGATGGAAATGATGTTTTGGATCTACCATGTCACATCCACACCAAGAAAGATGAAGAGGGTAATTTTATTTACCCAAAGCATACCACTCGACAGTGCCGGCTCCTGATCCAGCAGTTTCAGGGCAAACAGTCCAAAGATAAGGAAAAAGAGTCGGACAGAGTTGAGGACAAGGAAGATAGTGACGATGGATACCCCCAAATCAATTCCACCCTGATGATTTTTGCTGATGTCGAAAGCAAAAGTCGACTGAAAGTCATTAACCGTGAGGTGAATATGGTTGCTCCGGCAACACCCAGTTATCTGAAGTGGTCTCAGACTGCCATCACATTCGACCAGTCTGATCACCCTACGCACATTGCCACCCCTGGAAGGCAAGCTTTGGTGGTCGACCCGGTTGTCGAAGGCACTCGACTGATCAAAGTCCTAATGGATGGTGGCAGTGGCCTGAACATATTGTATGCTGAAACATTGAAAGGAACGGGCATTCCGATGTCCAGGCTCAGTACCAGTAACATGAGCTTCCATGGAGTCATTCCTGGGAAGAAAGCCAAATCACTCGGCCAGATCGCTCTTGATGTGGTTTTCGGTGATTCCAAGAATTACAGCAAGGAAAAGTTGACATTCGAGGTTGTGGACTTCCAAAGTGCTTATCATGCCATTTTGGGCAGGCCAGCTTACGCACGCTTCATGGCTCGACCATGTTATGTGTATCTCAAATTGAAGATGCCTGGTCCCAAAGGTGTGATCACTGTTACAAGCAATCAGAAGAAGGTAGAAGAGTGTTTTTAGAAAGGCTCAAAGATTGCTGACGCTCAGATGGCAGTTGTTGAGCTGCAAGAGTACCAGAAGACTGCTGATCCGAGTGAATTGCTACGAGCCAAGAAGCCTGCTTCAGAATCTGCTTTTCAGTCGTCCGGTGAAACAAAGCCAGCCCACATTCACTCGACCGACCCCGATGCTGCCCCGACTCACATCTCAACAACGCTCGACTCCAAATAGGAAGAAGCGCTCATCCAGTTCCTCCGTGAGAACTGGGACATCTTCGCATGGAAGCCTTCTGACATGCCTGGAGTTCCCAGGGGGCTGGCTGAGCACCGTCTACGAGTCGACCCAAAGTTCAAGCCTGTGAAAGAACATCTTCGACGGTCCGCCGTCCAGAAGAGGAAAGCTATCGGCGAGGAGGTGGCTCGGCTCTTAGCAACAGAGTTCATCCGAGAGATTTATCACTCCGAGTGGCTCGCCAATGCTGTCATGGTCCCCAAGAAGGACAAGTCACTTCGCATGTGCATTGACTTTAAACATATCAATCGGGCCTGCCCGAAAGATCATTTCCCTCTCCCCCGCGTCGACCAGGTAGTCGACTCGACCGCGGGGTGTGAGCGTTTGTCTTTTCTAGATGCTTATTCAGGGTACCATCAGATCCGTCTGTATGGACCCGACGAGATCAAGACGGCTTTCATCACCCCATTCGGGTGCTTCTGTTACATCACCATGCCCTTCGGCCTCAAGAATGCTGGAGCCACGTTCGTGAGGATGATTCAGAAGTGTTTGCTCACTCAGATCAGTCGGAACGTAGAAGCATACATGGATGATATTGTGGTTAAGTCACAGAAAGGTTCCGACCTACTGACTGACCTTGCCGAGACCTTTGCTAACCTCAGGAGATATGATATCAAGCTCAATCCATCAAAGTGCACATTCGGAGTTCCAGGTGGAAAGTTACTCGGTTTCCTCGTTTCCGAACGAGGAATCGACGCCAATCCCGAGAAAGTTGGCACCATACTCCGGATGAAGCGCCCTGTGCGTGTACACGATGTCTAGAAGCTTACAGGTTGCTTGGCCGCTCTAAGTCGATTCATTTCTCGTCTCGGTGAAAAGGCGTTGCCTCTTTACCGACTGATGAAGAAGTCTGACAAGTTCGAGTGGACTCCAGAAGCTGATGCAGCGTTCGCAGAGCTTAAAGCTCTGCTCTCCACCCAGCCGGTGCTTGCTGCCCCAATCAGTAAAGAGCCTCTGCTGCTTTACATTGCGGCCACGAGACAAGTTGTCAG